CAATCACATGAATCTGAGGTGCCTCCACATGTGGAACCTGCTGGGGAATTATCAGTAGATAATTGTACATGTGAGTTCTGAGCTCAGAAACCAAACTATTTATCAAGTTAGAAAAAAAATAAAATTACTTTCAGTTGTAAATAGGCATATGGTAAATTTTTACTTCGTAAATTGTTCATTTTAGTTTAAGAACCACAGTTGCCATTAGATGTTAACCTTTCCAGGCATTTGTGTGTTAGGAGCCAGGGGTTTCACAATGAAGATATATAACCATATCTGTATCCTTCTATATCTGCTTGCTATATTATTCTACCTGCCAGCCTAGATAATTCAACCTCCATTCACCCACTATATTCTGAACAGCCCCTTAAATTACTGATCTTGTTGTGTTGCAGAGCCAAGAGAAAGCTTGGAGATCATCTGATTCAGCCACTTATTCTTGAGGATGAACTTAATTGTGTGTGTAGTTGAACCTAATCAATTCAATTACTGTCGTTTTACTATACTTACATGGCTCTTATTCAATCAACTAGTTCTTCTTAAAGAAAAAGTAACACTTATATTGCAGTCCATAGGAATAAGTTGTTTTGAGCTCTGAGAAGAAGGTAATGTTACATTCCTTTAGTTTTCTAAATCAAATACAATATAGCTCCAATTCTCTGCTCATCAAAATTGGTAAGAAATTTAATTATTTTTCTGGATGCACTTTCTTTTCCTTGGGCATATGAGGTCCTACAAAACAGGAACAGATTTGGTCTCAGGCTGCTATTGCTACTGTACTTTGCAAGCCATGAAAGGTTGGAAGAGGAGGATAGCTCTTGCAGTGGCTCCAGTCCTTGTGGTAAGCTTGATCACTAAAGACTCTTACCAAGGCAGTGCAGCTAGTTCTCAAGGCTCATTGGCTCTTACTGCTTTCACATCTTGGTACCACAGACAATTGCCTCTCAGGAAGCTCTTCATCACCTTCCCCTGGTCGCTACTCAATTCCTGAAAGATACAACTCCACCAAAGCCCATTACTCCTTCTTTGTTTTCCAAGCATAAAACCCTATTCCACCTGCCTTCCTAGACCTTTTTCAAATAAAAATATTATTTTTCTATTGACTAGACAGGAAAATAAGTGAATAAAGAAGACTAGATATAAGATTGACAGGTTAGGGACTACACATACTATGTGTACTGAATAGGCTACAATACCAAATCTTTGAATTCAATGAAGGCAAATGGTGTGCTCTTCTAAGGAAATTTTCTCAAATTTCAAAAAAGTGGGAGTTACCACTTCAAAATGCTGTTCAGACCACATCCAAAATGCTTATAACCAATGGGCTACCATTTTAGAACCTTTCAGCTAACTTTCATGAATATACATGTGTTAGGTAATTATTAAGCTGAACATGGTGGGACATGACTCAACCCCATACTCAGGAGGCTGAGGCCTGAGAATCACAAGGTCCAGGTTAGTTTAGCTTACAGAGCAATACCCTTGTCTCAAATAGTCAAACAAAAAGTTGAGTTATCTATGGTAAATCCTGAGTTCTAGTCCTAGAATTGACAATAACACAAGTAATAATTCACAATTGCAGTTAAGGGGGAAATCATTGCACCTCAGGAACACAAGCTGAGTAGTGAGTCATGAGATATAGAGAAAAAATCCTGTTTTAATGAATTTACAATGGAATGATTTATTTGAAAGTTAAAATTTCAATCTTGATACATAACACTTTCAGAGCCTCACATACATGAGATTTGCATATGTGAATGATAAGTACATAACATAGACAAAGCCCTTTGGAGGAAAATATTATTCTCTGGTCTCTCTTCTATTGATTTTCCAGTGCTATTATTGATAGATTAGTAGAGAGAATGAAGTATATATACTGAGTATGAAGTATATATACTGAGGCAGTTTTACAATGTAGTCATGTTTGATACCATATATTTTTTCCTAATGATGTGTGAGAGAATTTGGCCACAACTATGGAAGCATTGTATGAAAATCATTTGGAGACGATTTTAATCCATCCACAGGATTCATATAGAAAAGTAAGGATGTATTTCTTATGAAATAAGGAGTAATGGATTCCTACTTTCCAACTTTGATTTGGAAAAGCTTAGCTTTTAACTTACTGAAACGAATAAGTATTTTCATGGCTTGCATTTCCAGAAAGCAAAAACTCATTAACATTTGCCACAATCATAAAGATACACACAGCAAATCACTATGCACCTTTGTCTCCTTGAAATACAAATGCACCGATTTAGAACAATGCTGAGCACTAGGAGAACCACCCAGTGCCATCCTCAGAGGCCTCCTTAAGTCAGTACACAGCACATTCATTTGCTTGGCACCTAAACAGCTCTCTTAAAATCTTGCCCTGCTTTACCTCTGTGATATTCTTCTCCCAAACCCGCCATTCTCATTCTAATTCTAAGAAAAATATCAACCTCAACTAAAATGGCACCCTACAAAATACAACCAGTACTGTTAAGGTCATAAAAAACAAAGGAAAATGGAACAACTGTCAAAGACCAGAAGAGACTAATGTAATGTAATATGATAGCTGGGTGCCAATGGCTTATGCCTGTAATCCTAGTTACTTGTAAAGTTAAGATATAAGGATTGTGGTTCAAAGCCAGTCTGAGCAGAAAAACCCAACAGACTTATCTTCAGTTAATTGGCAGAAAGTGGAGAGATGTGGCTCAAGTGGTAAAGCCATGACCAAAAGTGAAAGGTCATGAGTCAAGCCACCCCAACCACCCACAACAAAAAGGAGGAAATGCCACATGGTATCTTAGACAGGATCCCAGAACAGAAGAATAACCTTGATGGGATGAAGTGTGAAAAATGATGAAATACAACAGTTTGATCAATAGTAACTTACCACTGTTCCAAAAAATGTACCATGGTCATATAAGATATAGTAGGAGAAACTGGCAATGGAATATGAAAACTTTAATGCTTTTTCAACTTTTTCCAAATACACAGTTATTTTAAAAGAAAATTATTTGAAATGAAGGAGGAAAATTATTTTTTAAATTGTCCTAAGGTTAACTCTAACTTGGCTTCCCCAGTGCAGCAATGTAGTATCAGGATTTTGATATCCTCATGAAACCCCAGACATTTTTCCTTAAGGGCTTGTCTTGGGGTGAACCTATCAGTCAGGAAGGAATCTTCTTGTTTTCAAGTGATAGTAGTTCCAACTCAAAGTAACAAACATGATGAGAATTTCTTGGTTTGTGTAATGAAAGTACCCCATAGGCTGGCTCCAGAAAAAGAGGAATGAATGATGTCATTAGTTCTTCCTAATCTGATCGCCTGGTCTTTGATTCTTTTTGCTCCACTCTGAAGCCTGCAGCCTTGATCCTCTGCAAATTCAGACTCACATTCATCAGAAAAGAGAGTGTGGTTCTCTTTCCAATGATCATAGTAAAATTTAATTGCTTCTCATTGATTCTCATTGAATCATGTGCCTAACCATGAACAAATCATTGAGAATGCATACAGAATGCAATGGTCTGATTGTCAAGTGTGAGCTCTGGTCCACTCTTGAGTTTAGGGTGGAGGAAACTCCAATGGAAACTTATTAGCTAATAATTGAAGGGAAAAATCAAGCATTTTAATAATTGACTGGTTATAGAATATCAAAATGAATATTCCTACTCTCCTCCAAAGTACTATTGTCCTCAATTATTCCACCCTCAACTTACAGACAATACTTTTCTTTAGGGAGAGAGCTTTCTTTAGATAGGGCATTGTCTGTCTTTAGAAAGATAGTCTGCTTCTTCTGAGCTTCCTTTTACTCATCTGTAACTTACACACCATATTCCAGGTTGCCCAGGATGTTAGATAAATGTGTTCTTCTGTTCTGGGAGATGTAAACTACAAGTTAAATCTTCCTTAGCTAGGCATAGTGAAATATGTCTTTAATCTTAGTACCTTGGAGTTGAAAGCATGAAGATTGTAAATTCCAGACTATTCCTACCTTTCCCTACTTCTTATGTTTGCTTGTTAACCCATTTGTAAGATTTGGAGCTAGCGCTTACATGCAGTAATGTCCAACCTACATAGATTTAATTTCATAGACTCCCCCGCTTTGGCTATTTTTCTATTAGTGGCTCCATCCATTCTATAGAAAAGCTGCAACTACTTACTGATTCTATTTTTGCTCTCAGTTTTGGATTACAGGAGGAAAATTGATATAATTTCCCATTTCTTTCTGTTAAGAAGTTGTTGGTGTTTGTTGTTTCAACTTTTGATGTTGGTGTTTCAGCTTAAAGGATTTCTTCAGCATGCAATTTTGACTTGAACTCACTTTAGTTACTTGGGCATGATCGTGTATTATTGATTAAAATCACAGTGGGGGCTGGGGAAGCAAGTACAGGGATCATGTCTGTCACATGTAAAGCCACTAATCAATGTCTTTACCTCAACCACACCCTTTGGTCACTCACTGATCCTGTCCAGTCCTGTTGCTTCCACTGAATCTGAAATTCTCTTCCAGAATTTCTTGACAACAGATATTTGGCTCATATTTGTTGTTGGCCAGAAATGTCAGAAAAGTAATGCTCTTAGGAATCTGCCTGAAAAAGTCAGGGAGTTGATAAATATATATTATGGGTCTGTTTTGTCTTGTAGTTGTTTCTCTCTCTCACTTTCTCTGTATCTCTGTGTCTCTGTGTCTCTCTGTGTCTCTGCCTTACTCTCTCTCTTTCTCTCTCTCTATCTCTCTCTCTATCCTTATCTTTCTCTCCCTCTCTCTCTCTCATTTCAATGAAGGAAATGTGTTAAGTCCCTTGAGAGGAAAGAAAACCCTCTTATTACCAGGTTTCAGGGAAAGTGTCATTCCTTCTATGGATGAGAAAACATCAAGCCCGTCTCCCCCTGGAGAGGGGTGAGCACTGACATAGATCTGTTAATGCTAAAGGGATGTTTAAACAGAGCCTCTCTACTCCTGAGGACCACAGTGAGGTGAAGAGCCTGTGCTGCAAAGCAGAAACAGGGTGCCCACTTCAGCAGCACATACACTAAAATTGGAACTATATAGATATTAGCATGGCCCCTGTGCAAGGATGACACACAAATTCATGAAGCATTCAATATTTTTAAATCAGGTAACACATGGAGACTGAACAACACACTGTTGAACTACCCATGGATTGTGGAAGAGATTAGAAAAGAAATTCAAATATTCATGATATTTAACAAAAATGAACATACAAATTACCAGCTCCTCTCAGACACAGCAAAGGCAGTTTTCAGAGGAAAATTTATAGCTCTTAGTTCCTATACCAACAAATTGGAGAGACCTCAAACCAACAATTTAATGATGTACCTGAAGCTCCTTGAAAAACAACAAAAAGCCAAACCCAATTCAGTACACAGAAACAAAAAAATAAATCAAAATTAAATTAATTAAAGTCCAAAAAATAGAAAGAATCAGCATAAAGGGAGTTGTTTAAAAACATTGACAGACTCTGGGCTGGGAAGGTAGCTCAGTGGTAGAGTGCTTGCCTTGCATGCATGAGGCCCTGGGTTCGATTCCTCAGCACCACATAAGCAAACAAAAAAAAAGCCAGGAGTGGTGCTGTGGCTCAAGTGGTAGAGCACTGGCCTTGAGCTACAGAGCTGAGGGACAGCACCCAGGCCCAGAGTTCAGGCCCCACGACCGGACCCAAAAAAAAAAAAATTTGACAGACTCTTAGCAAGTTTTACCAGAAAAAAAAAGAGAACACACCCAAATAAACAAAATCAAAGATGAGAATGACCACAAGAAACAACCAAGATTCAAAACATTATAAAGGAATATTTCTCAAACATTTATGCTAAAAAAAAAAAGATGAGAATCTGGAAGAAATGGAAGAATTTCTAGCAAATATTGATATGCCCAAACTAAACCAAGATGATTTAAATCAATTTAACAGATCCATATCAAGCACCAAAATAGAAACAACAATAAGAGACCTCCTACCCAAGAAAAGCCCAAGACAAAGCAGAACTCACACCGATACTCCTACAACTCTTCAATGAAATTGAAAGTTCACTACCAAACTCTTTCTATGAAGCCATCATAACCCTCATCCCAAAACCAGGCAGGGACTCAACAAAGAAAGAGAACTATAGACCTATTTTTTGGATGAATATTGATGTGAAACTTCACAACAAAATTCTGGACAGTCGACTTCAATGATTCAACAAAAAAATCATACACTATGATCAAACAGGATTCATTCCAAGGATGCAAAGCTGGATCAATATAAGCAAATCAATTAATGTAATTCATCACATCAACAAGAGCAAGGATAAGAACCACATGATTATCTCAATAGACACAGAAAAAGCATTTGACGAGAGTTAAGACCCATTTATGATGAAAGCTCTGGAGAAACTAGGAATCCATGGAACATTCTTCAATAAAATAAAGGCTGTATATGACAAACCTCCAGCCAGCATTATACTTAATGGCAAAAAGCTAAAGCCATTTCCTCTAAATTCAGGAATGAGACAAGACTGTCTACTTTCTCCACTCCTCTTCAATTTAGTATTAAAATGCCTTAGCTAAAGCAATAAGACAAGATGCAAACCAAAACAAGATCCAAATAGGGAAAAATGAAGTAAAACTCTCCCTCTTTGCAGATGACATGATCTTGTATTTAAAGAAACTCAGAAACTCATGGACTTCACTCCAAAGTTACTAGAGCTGATCAGAAACTTTGGCACAGTAGTAGGGTATAAAATTAATCCCCCAAAATCAATGGTGTACTAAGGAGAAGAGAGCAGCTGAAATCCAGAAAGCAACTCTTTTTGTAATAGCTCCACAAAAATAAAATACCTAGGAATTAACTTGACTACAGAAGTGAAGGACCTCTATGATGAAAACTTTAAAAACCTGAAAAAGGGAATTAAAGCAGAAGTAAGGAGGTGGAAAGCCCTTCCATGCTCCTGGATTGAGAGGATTAGCATGGTGAAAATGGTAATACTACCAAAGGCTATATAATGGAATTCAATGCTTTCATTTGCAAAAATGACACTGCCTCATTTCTTAGGATATGGAAAGACTTGGAAAAAATTATATTAAGTGAAGTAAGCCAGGCCCAAAGAAACATAGGTCCCATGGTTTCCCTTATTTGCAATAAAGTATATGTCTAGGATAATCTAACCAGACAAGCAGAAAAGCTCAAAAGCTATTTACATATGACCATATAAGATGATGCTAAGTGAAATGAACCCCAAGATAGGGACACAGAGGTTTTATCTTTGTCGCTGTTGTATTGAATGATTTTTTTGGTTTCTTTTATATGTTCTTCCCCCATGGTATAACCCCCATTGTCACTGTATTTGATTCTCATGCCCTACATCTTGTATATACATTTTTCTAATTTGGGGAGGGGAAGGGAAATAACAAAATGCTCAAACAAGCATATAGGATGACCCACTATAACAATGAGATATATAAGACATTATGTTGAAAATGAACTTTACAACTTTGGGAGGAGGGGAAGGGGGAGTTGAGGATGTGGGGAGGGAAAGGATAGTAGGGGGAAAAACAAAGGAGGGGGTAACAATGCTCAATAGGAAATGTACTCACTGCCTTGGTCATGTAACTGTAACCCCTCTGTACAGTATCTTTACAATAAAAACAATTTTTAAAAATCAATGGCATTTCTGTATGCCAGTGATGAGAAGAGTACAGCTGAAATCAGGAAAGCAACTCTTTTTATAATAGCCCTACAAAAAATAAGATACCTAGGAATTAAGTTAACTAAAGAAGTGAAGGGCCCTATGATGAAAACTTTAAAGACCCCAAAAAGGAAATTAAAGTAGAATTAAGGAAGTAGAAAAACCTCCCATGCTCCAGGATTGGGAGGATTAACATTGTTAAAATGGCAATACTGCCAAAGGTTATCTGTAAATTCAATGCAATACTCATCAATATCCCAACCCAATTCTTCAATGAAATAGAAGAAGCAATCCAAAAATTCATATGGAACAATAAAAGACCCAAAATAGCAAACAAAAATCCTTAACAGAAAGAACAGTGCTGGAGGAATATCAATACCAAACTTCAAACTATACTACAAAGCCACAGTAACTAAAACAGCTTAGTACTGACACAGAACAGACCTGATGACCAATAGAATAGAACTAAAGACCCAAAAATGAACCCACAGACAAAGACAGACTCTTCAGGAAATGGTGCTGGCAAAATTGGTTAAATACCTGTAGAAAACTAAAGCTAGGTCCTTATCTATCACCCTGCACCAGAATCAACTCCAACTGGATCAAAGACCTCAAAATAAAAGCAGACATACTGAAAACATTACAGGAAGGAATAGGAGAAACTCTAGGGCTCCTTGGCAGAGGCTGAAATTTTCTTAATAGAGATCCAGAAACACAACAAATCAAAGAAAGGTTGGACAAATGGAATTGCATGAAACTGCAGAGCTTCTTCATGGCAAAGGACATAGCAAGCAAGGTCAATAGAAAGCCCATGGATTGGGAGAAGATCTTTACTAGCCATACAAATGACAAGGGTTTCATATCTAAAATATACTTGGAACTCAAAAAATTAAACCCCCAACAACAAATCCTCAAAGAAACCACCCCATTAGTAAGTGGGTTAAAGACTTAAAGAGAGACTTCTTTGAAGTGGAAATAAGAATGGCTAATGGACACATGAAGAAATGCTCAACTTTCCTGGCCATAAAAGAAATGCAAATCAAAACAACATTGAGATACCACCTCATCCCAGTTAGAATGGCTATAATCAAGAAATCTAATAACAACAGATGCTGGAGGGGATGTGGCCAAAAGGGAACTCTACTGCATTGTTAGTGGGAGTGTAAACTTGTTCAGCCACTCTGGAAAGCCATATGGAGGTTCCTCAAAAGACTCCACATAGAGCTCCCCTATAACCCAGCAATCCCACTTCTGAGCATTTACCCAAATGATCACAAACAAGGCCATACTAAAGCTACCAGCACAACTATGTTTATCACAGCATTATTCATGATAACTAAGATATGGAACCAACCCAGATACCCCTCAGTAGATGAATGGATCAAGAAAATCTTGATATATATGTAAATATACAATGAAATTATACACACACACACACACACACACACACACACACACACACACACACACACACACAATGGAATTATATACTTCTATCAGCACTAATGACACAGCCCCATTTGTTAGGAAATGGAAGGACTTGGAAAAGATTATATTAAGTGAAATTAGCCAGATCCAAAGAAATATAGGTCCTTTGGTGTCTCTTATTTGCAATAATTAGTATATATCTAGAATAATCTTATCAGATAAGCAGAAAAGCTCAAAAACCATCTACATATGACCATATACGACGATGATGCTAAGCAAAATGAGCCCAAGATATGAACACAAGAGTTTTTTCTTTGTTTTTTCTTAATGTACTATGTGATTTTTTTTGTTTCTTTTACATGTTCTTCCCTCTATGGTTTATACCACGTTGTCACTTTATTTGATTTTGGTACCTTGCATCTTGTATATATATTTATCTAATTTGGGGAGGGGAAGGGGAATAACAAAATCTGAAACAAGAACACAGGATGCCCCATTGCAGCAATGGTACTCACAAGACACTATGCTGGACATGAAATTTACAACTTTTGGGGTGAGGGAGGTGGCAGAGAGAAGGGATAGAAGGAAAAAAACAAATGAGGGGTAACAATGTTTGGAAAGAAATGTACTCATTACTTTACTCGTGTAACTTTAACCCCTCTGTACAGCATCATTACAATAAAATAAAATTTTAAAAAACCAAAAATAGCATAAACAGGCATAAAACTATATTTCACTCAAGGACAATCATAGAAGCAAGGCGGCAACAGGAAAGTGAGGCAGGAATTCCGAAAAAGCACTACCCACCACAAGGAAAATGTATAAAAGACCTACTTGAGATTCAGGAGTAAGTCCCTCCTTTCCACTGAACATCATGCAATAGCAATCAAACCTGTGGGAAGGGACATTGAGAGGGGCTTTATTCTTGGTAAAGGCAGGAAGGTTATTAAAAACAGAGTACCAAAAGAGCAGAGAGGAAAAGCACCTCCGCACATTTGG